GAGTTTCTCAATGACAGTACAGCAGAGGGCCATATAAACAGCCCATTACTCTTTTTGCCATTTAGTATACACACACTTCACCTTTTATGTATTTGGAGCAATAGCACTCTCTCTATTTCCACTTCACATACCATTGGGTGTCCCTCACCAGACATGGCTAGGCTGTGACCGAACACTGGTTCAAATAGTTCTGATGTCATGACCATAGCAGGCATTCCTCTCAGCACCTGAAACAGGTAGTGTTATAGTGTCACAGCCTCCAAAGTACTTGAGCAGATTGTCCCTAAAAGGTGTGTTGAATTCAAATCATTTGACTTCTTCAGAGGGAGCAAGATTGCAACATAAAGGGAAGATGAGTACTGGTCACACGTCACATTTGATTGAATTAAGTTCAATGAGTGAGTAAGGCGGGCTATGACTGTGTTCAGTGTCATTCTTTACTAGTTAAGTTACACAACAATACTTGTTTTATATTAGAGACCCTGAGGCAAAACAATGACAGACAAGAGTTTCTGTGGTTAAGTGAACTGACTTCAGGAATGTCACATTAAAACGTTTGGGGGGAAAAGGTTAGGCAATGTTACTTAAAAAAACATGTATTTTCTTCAAAAGTGTTGGAGTTAATTGCTTGTCGCTTTGAGTAAAAAGGTGACACAAACACAACATTGAAACGCTACAATGAGCAGTAATATTAACTTATGAAGAGGGTTTAAACAGCTAGCATAAGCGGAATAGCTCAATTTGCTTAATCTTAAATGAGAGTTAAACAAGTCCCATTGTTAAGCGCTTCAGTTGAGGTATGTGGTGACACAAGAGCAGTTTCTACGAAACTAGCTCGAGATAACAGAAGAGCGACTCGAAGTTTAGAAAGAGAAGCTTTAGAAGAGCAGTAAATACGTAAATGAGCTTTTTTTCTGTCAAAAACATGCTAATAAACGTAACATACAAAGTGTTCCCCGGACTTACCTCTCATCCATTCGAAAACTTGCTTTGGCGTCCACTTCGTAATCGGCTCCATGGCGACTTTAACAGCTATACAGCGACAGAAATGTCCCAAATTTTGGCGACGAGTTTTGACAATTTAAACAGAAAATAAATTGCTGTCACATTCTCCTCAACAGGTCCGCGCTGCTCCTCTGTTTGTGTTCAATGAACATCAACTCTCAGTACACGCGTGAGTGAGTGGAGGCTGGACTGCAATTGCAGTCCACAATCCCCCAGCTCCTCCGGTGTGGGATCAAGGCTGCATTCAGGTACGACTGGAAATACTGGGAAAAATCACAACTTAAATAACAAAACGGCCAAGCAAGCCCTAAAGAAAGGCACTTTTCTCAGCCACATACACACTGAAAGAATATCATAGTTTATATTGCCTTCATTGTATTAATATTTTATTTAAGTAATCATTGATATTAATGAAAGTTCCTCATGTGTGCATGTTTATCGAAACTAATTATGATGATGCATTTCCCTCTTTTTGATAAAAGCAAGCATTTTCTGCTTTATGTTGCAACAGCTAATTGTATACTCATTTATTAACAAAACCAATTGAACATACAAAAATGATATACACTTTTTGTCAACAGTTTACCGTTTTAGGACATGGATGCCAGAGATTACGGAGGGGAAATGAATGCAGCGTGTGATGTTGATAGTGTCTGCGTGTTCACCGCCCTCATTTGAAACTGGAGGCGTGTACATATCAAACAATGTGATGCCCAATTTATATTTTGTTGCTCCTGGATGAACAAAAAAAGTTTTAAAAACACAGATTATGTGAGTCTGTCAACATAATTAAAATAGATTGAATGTCAGTGCTTAATTTTGTACAACGTGCATCAATCATCTTATCTCTGAATTCATGAGTTAGAGCACGCTGATAATGGCTTATTTATATGAAAAACTCATTAGGGTGTTTTTACTGTTGTTATCAATCATGTTTGCAGTCTCCATCTTATATAGCCTACATGTATCCATGCCATGCATGCTATTTAAACTTCAGAAGTATGAAGAACTTTTATTTTTCACTGAACAAAATGTGACTCACTGCTGCCCTCTGTTGGTAACTTAGTTATTTGCAAGTCATACAATCTCATTTAATTGTTAAAGGTCTACTGATCATAATTCCATTGTTGAGGTTTACTAGAATAGATTTATATTGTGCAATTTTCCAAACTCACATTGGTTTCTCATACATACAGCATCTCTGTATAGTAGTGTCCTAAATGGCTTGTTGGAGCTCCTGCCCCTACCCCCCCCCTCCCTGTGAGCCCACTGTGCTCTGATTGGTTACAGCGGAACATCAGTGATTATGTGTTACAATCAGTGGCGTTTTCTCCCGGAGGCCAAGGGAAGCCAGGCTTCCCCTGTTTTTTCGGATTGTAGTTATAATTTAAATAAATAAATACAAACACTTTGTTTTGTTTCGATAATTCTCCTTTGCTGTGTGTTGCTGCCGGCCCGGCTCTCCCCCATTCTCATTGAGTATTTTACAAAGAGTGAAACAAACAGCGCCCCTCTAGATGTTATGGTGAAACAGTAGATTGCACTCACTGTTGCGAGAGGAGGCCAGCCGAATCTAGCTTCCCTTGGTGAAAAAAAATGGAGGGATTGACCAATCAGATGAGGCCCACGTGATGCCCCTGCCAACCTGTGATTGGTCAGGGCCATGCCAAGGGAAGCTAGCCGCCTCTTGCTTCCCTTCAGAGGCGGCTGGCGGCTGGCGATTTGATTGGACACTGCCATCCAATCAAATCACATCAACATCAGTTTTAATACTGTAACTGTCATCACCGCCGTTAGAAATTATCAAGCAAATTAAGTATTATGGAGGGTGGAGATTTGGCGTACTTAATCAAACATAACTTTACTAAACTTCCGCTACAGCAGCAACTACAAATTAAATCAGATGACAGGCCAATGCCCGCACTCGAGCTGTGTGTACGCAGAGGAAAAAGGGAGAGAATCGGACGTTCAATGAGGACAATTATGTCCGCACGGAGTGGCTAACTGGAAGCGCTAAACTTCAGCGTCTAATTTGCTGGCCATGTCTTCTTTTTGACAAGGATTCGTGCTCCCTGAACAATCCTTGGGCAACTTCAGGATTCATCGACCTTGCCAACCTGTCACGGGCAATTGAGAGGCACGGTAAATCCAAAAATCACATAGATTGTGTGATTGTCTGCATACATTAATAAGTAAAATGCTTAAATTAATAAGGAGAGAGTTTCAGCTGGAGAGTGCGTGCGGACCTGTCGGTTAGATAACAGGCGTGTGCAAGTCCTGCATCTGTGTGATACAAATGTGTGTCAAATGATACCGGGCGCTGTAATCACTCATCTGGTTACGTTATTGACCACCCCCCGACCCAAAAAATGGGCTTCCCCTACATTTTTCCCCACGCCACGCTACTGGTTACAATGGCGTTAGTAACCAAAAAATGACACCAGTAACTTAAGGACAAACAGATGAGAATGCTGCGTGGGCCGTGGGGTCTGGGTGCCGTGTTGGCGGGACGTTGCGCGGCTCGCTACTGCGAGGAGCGGACAGTGTGAGCTGGGTTAATTTCCTGCTTGCATGCGTGGGGTTTGCGAGACAGCGAGACATCGCGAATGGACGCAGGAAGGGGGGGATGCTGAGGGGGCTGCAGCACCCCCATCTGCGAGGGTCCACTAGCTCGTTTTAATTATTCACCAGCACTTACAATGATATTGCTTGTTTGAAGTAAATATGTCAGCACTGTTGTTGTTGTTGTTGTTGTTGTTGTTGTTGTTGTTGTTGTTGTTGTTGTTGTTGTTGTTATTGTCCTTAGTTTGAATCTTTATGGTTTATTGCACTAGTATGTCGCTTTGGATAATTATTATTATTATGATTGATTATAAAGCAATAAAAAACCTTTTGGATTGTGCTTCTCTCCTGTCAATGACAATATGTGCATGGTAAAGAGTGCATACAAATCCAAATATCCAAATACTTATTCTAAATAAACTAAACTCCAGCCTGTTTTGGCCCTGTAACTTCTGAAGAGGCTTTGAAAAAGATGGCAGTTTTACTATTATGATATGTAACATTAAGTAACCTTTCCTGGCTTGTTATTTTCATGGGAGAGTCCCGGCCCTTCCTATCACTCCATTGCGGTACAGCTGGAAGCTTCTCCGCACTGTAATCATCTGCAGATTAAAGCTCGGCTGCTGTCAAACCTTGGCATGCTTTTTTGTCTGGCATAAATATATTGGAAACCCAATACAGTGATATAAAACAATTACTTTTTCCCTGTTCCAGCATGCTGACTGAGACGAGACATATTTTGAGTCCTTTCTTTACATGAAAGTTAATTAAAGATTAAAACCTAACCGAGTAATATAGGTGTTGACTGACAGGTATAATGCCTGAGGTAGGCTTTGAATAGAAAACTTGACAAGAAGTGTGTGAGTGAGTGATCATGGTTAGCAAAGTACAAGACAAAAAAGAAGCAAAGATATTTCTGTAAAGTATGTCAAGTTGCTGAAGTTTTACGATTGTTTACATTCAGAGTTTGTGCACCTTGAGTAACTTTTTATCTTCTTTAAGTCAAGATAAACAGTGCGTTTGCGTCTGACTGCAGCAAATGGGAGAGTCTGATCCACTCTCTGTTCTCATGGGAGTGGGCTCCATTAAACACGATCAGGGTGGTGTGGAATTCAGGGGAGGTCCTCCCTGATAGGATTAAAGGAATCATGGGATTGTTGTGGAGGTGAGACGGAGGGATGGAAAGTGTGTTTTGGTCTGTGGAGGAGGAGGGGGCCCAAGCTTTAAGGCTGAGAGAGGGAGGAAGACTTGAGCGCTGTATTGGTTACACTATCATTGTTGTTCTAGGATTGTATTACAAAAAAAGTCAGCACTTCCTCACACAAAAGGTCACGTTAGATAATCACAATGACCAACTTCTTCTTTCAAAGCTCCCAAAACACTCAAAGTAAAACAAAGACTCGCAAAGATAAGCAAACTCTTCATGGCCTCGCTTGTATTCTGAATCAACATTTATTTCAGCATCAAAATACAGGAAGTCCAGGTTTGGCACTGTATATTATTCTGGGATCTACATTAGGATCAGGCTAATAATATCATATAAACAACGGCAGGAGAAACACCAGTACAGGAAGTATTCCACTTTGCTATCTAAGATGACAGGATATGAAGGCCTAAAGATGTTGTTAAATCATATAAAGCCACTTCCTGCCCCTGACAGCTTCAGTCTGAACAGTTTTACTGTAGGAGAGGAAATGTCACCTTCTGTGTGTGTCACCATATTGTTTAAATGTAGCTCACAACATCACAGATCAGAGACTATGGATGGTATTACATGACTAGAAAAAGATAGCTACTCTGGACTTACATGTGGCCTTTCAAAATAAAGGGTGTTAAGGCATTTTAATCGTTCACATTATTGTTTTCTTTTATTTCCTCTACACTGCTCTTATTCTTTCTCTTTGAGGCACACGATCCTAGACATTAGCATTGACACTAAGATGCCTCATCACAGTGTAAAGGAGGAGGCTGACATAAAGAGAGCAGTGTAGTAAAAGGAAACACACAAAAGATCCTGTGTACTGATGTTGTTGCTGGGACTTTAAGGGAAGATGAAGCCTCAGGGTCTTGAAGTCTTATTTTGGAAGAAAGTACATTTCACATACCCCGAAATAGGTTCGTACCAAGAAATTAAAATATATGCATGTAGATCTCTAAACATATTCTCTATGCTTTTTACAGCTGGCAACGTCGAAATGATAAGATCAAGAAGAGATACATATTGTTGCAGATTTTTACTACAGTGAAACGTCAAAGATGTAATGCTTTTTTTTCTTTTTAGGGGACATTCTGTGGGTTTGAAGGGACGGCGGGTCTGGCATTGAGGTACTCCAGAACAAACACCTGGATGATCTTGTTGAGGTTCTGAATGGTGGCGCGATCCAGGTTCTGCTCGTTGTCGTCAAACGTGTGCCATACAGACGGGAAGGGGGAGGGGATCAGATGGAGGACGCGCACACCTGAGAGAAAAGCATGGGATGAGGACAGAGAAATACAATATGTCATCATTTTTGCTGTATTTGTGTTACTTTGTTGGGTTTACCTCTGTTTAGGAATGGTATATGATCATCTTGAACGTGACCAACCGGTATATTGGGCCAGAAATATTGCACGCTGTCAGGATGATCCACAAGCTGGTTCATGGAGTGTAAACGCTTTTCTGAGAATATAAGAGGGAAGACAAAGAGTGAGTTAGTTCAGAGTAAAGAAAAATAAAACATGCTAAGGTATAATTTCTTAATTGTGTAAAAAAAGTATTGAATAGTTTGCTTTGCTTGATTTCGTGTTTATGGTTTTTTAATTGTCAACTCAAGCTACTTTTGTTTTCCTTTCTTACACATTGCATAACTGTAACCACATTTTGATGGATTAAATGTTTGTAAATTCTGATTAATAACATAATTGTTTTTAAAGGAAACCGGATCCATTAAAAAAAAAGGAAAAACCAAGGACAAAAATCTATCTTACTAAAATGAGTGAGGAAATAGGATTTTAATCCTCTATAAGTTCTTTAGGCTGAAAATACACAATATATCCACTATATGCAGAATCTAAACAGTGCAAGCACAACAACACAAGAGCTTCAATGGGACAAATGCACAATAATTTGACAGTTGCCACATTTGCCCTTAAGCGATGATGATCGTCTGAATATGACTGCCTTATTAATGACTCATGATTAAAGTGACTTGTGGCACACCTTCACCATAGTAAACAGTTCTTCACAGTGTGTACAATAGTAGGAAAACTTTGGATTATTCACCGATGCTCTGCAGCCTAGAGAGCCAGTGTGATGTGCTGGGGAACTGGTTGCCAAAGGTCGGGCTCGGGCCCCCGATCAGGTCCAACAACACCAACAGATCCTGGAGGAGAAGAAACAAGGTCTGGTGATCTCTCATGAGAAACTCTATAAATCCTGAAGAAAAGTTATAGTAAAAGCTTAAGAAGCCAGTTCCCATCACACCTCAGAGACCCTGCTTTGAGATGTGGTGGTGCAACACACTGACATCACTGCTCAATGCTCAAACATACACACATGCACGCATGTACACACACACACACACACACACACACACACACACACACACACACACACACACACACACACACACACACACACACACACACACACACACACACACACACACACACACACGTTTCTTTAAGAGACTGTCTGCTTTATCTCCACAGGAATGTCTACATTTGTAGATAGTCGCTTACAATTCAGAAACATTTACCAATTAACTTGACATCTTCTTATCATATACTGTGTAATCAATTATGTTTAATATCAAGACACCCAAGCCCTCCCAGATGATAAAATGACCAGCTTTGTGATCTGACATTCCTTGGTAATACAAAACTATTTAAGACATGCACCGCCTTGTTAGGAATTTGTCTGTCTACAAGATCAGTGCTTAGCAGGTTGCGCTTGAAGTGATGCAGGCTAACAGAAGTGTGTTTTTCAGTGAGATTATAATCATTTAAAGGTCACCTATTATGCAAAATCCACTTTTTAATGTCTTTTAAACATAAACATGTGTCCCCTCTGTGTAAAGAGATCCTGAAAGTTTCAGGAAAAAAGATTCGCTCTCTTTTTGTCCTGATCCATTTAATGTATATAAAAACCTGTCTGAAAATGAGCTGATCCGATTTTTGGCCACTTGCAGAGGGGCGTGGGGAGTGGCTTATTTTCCTCTAAAGTAACAGACCCAGAATCAGCACTTTTGGGGCTGAAACAGAGGGGTTGTGGGATGCTACAATGGGTGATCTGTTTGGTGTTTGAAGCCAAACACTTCAGAGACATGTTTTGTATATATCTGAGAATTATATTATATTGATGAAAAGGAGTAGGGACCTTTAAGGTGGTTTAGGCAGAAAAAAAGAACTGTGTTGTACCATGCCGTGTAGCTGGTTGGTGTCCGTGGCTCCTGCAGGGTGGGGGGTGGCCTCCATCTTCTGTGCCAGGTGCCGGGAGCCGTAAAGGGAGTCTGTGGGGGTCCACTGGAAAAGAGCCTCCTCGCCATCAAAGAAGAGCAACTGCAGGGTGAGGTCAGCACTGGAGCTCTGCATGGGGGGTAAACAGAGGACAGTCAAGGCATTGACTTCAATGCAGACCTTCCTGCAGCAGTCAGACTCTACAACCCCCACAGCCCCTGGAAGACCCCTGGTAGACCCCCCACAAATAGAGACTCATGCAATCCTGTACAATAAACCTGCAATGTGCAATAGAAACACTATCTGCCATTTGTACGCTATAATCACTTTAAAGTAAAAAATACTTATTTTTATAAATGTCCCAACTTATATTCTTTTATGTCACAATACTTCAATGCCATCTTACGTTTACCGAACTTACTGCTACTAATTTTTCACCATGGTTGTGTAATTATTTGTCTTTATTTATTATTAATGTGTGCATTACTTTCTTTATTATTTAATATCTGATTTTTACCTGCTATTCAAATTTTGCGGAAATTACGGAAATTACTAATAAAGGATTTCTGAGTCAGAATGTTGCTGCCCCCTAGTGGTTTTGAGGTTTTTGGTTTAGTGTGAAATTAGGGCTGTGTAAAGGTATCAGATTTTGACTTCCCAATTATTGTGGCTAAAATGACTCACAAAGAGAGTTCACTGATTTATTGTGAATGTATGGGGGATTTAGTGATTATTCTCTATACAAGTATATTCTAACAACCCTCAGTTTTTGTTGCACCCCAAATATATGCTTCTGCTAGTTTTCATGTAATGCTGGCCACTATACTGCCTGCTTTAATTCCCATCTTTATTATTTGTCTTTTAATTTAGTATAAAAGTTGCCCTTCTGTTTTTATTATTGTCATTTTGTCTTTTATATCAATCTTTGTGCAGTGTTTATAGTTGTTATTTCACAGTTGCACATAACTTCAGTCTATGTTTTGTTAAAGTCGTCTTTATAAATGAATTTGTATTGGATTGGAAGTTAACATCCTCCTCTGTGTCGTTTATCAGCTATGGTATTGATTGTGTGTCCGCCTCCATGGCTTGTATTGTATTTGCTATTCCCCCAACGACCTTTGTGACGGGCTGAGTCTGATGAACACGTCCCTGGCTGATCTCTCTCTGTCAGACCTCACTGAGCTGCAGACAGGCCTCTGAGCTGCAGCGAGGAGCGCGCTGCATGAATACTAAGTGTTATGATGCACTTGTTTGTGGAGCAATTATATATAGATTTTTGTTTTAATTCAAACAAAGCATTTTTTTTCTTTAGTAAAATGTTTTTAAATTCATAAAGGTTCATGGCAATTTACTTTGACCGTTCTTTACAAAGTAATTATATTAACAACAAACTAAATGAAATGGATAATGTATATAATTGTATGTGTCTATCTGCATCTTCATTTTTGTGACTGGATCACTTGACAAATCAACCATCAATTGTACTTTTTAGTATAAACTTTCTTCTGGCTCCGCTTTAACACGTGCATTTTAACTGATATTTATACTTTTATACATTTTTCACAACCTTTTTACATCTCTGTATATATTTCACATATATTTTATGTCTCCGTATAGACATAATCATTCCTGTTAACATTTAGTTATTCATTTTTAAATCACTGTACAGGTCTGCCACAAACGACTTATTTTTGTATATCTTTTAAAGTCTTTATTATAGCTATCCCTTTAGACTTCTGCCCTATTTCATGAATTAGATCAACATAGATTTTGATTTAATTAAATATTCAATGTACATTGTTTGTGCATGATCGAAGCCTTTCTTTGCCAACAAATGTGCACATTAAATGAACAATTGTAACTTAACTTGAACTGTTTCTCATATTTGGGTGACATGAACACATCTATAGTGATGATCACCTAGTTCCTGAAACCGTCTGCAACATGTTTGGTCTTGTTTTCCCCAGAGCTTACGGTCATTGGTGATGTTGTTGTATGACTTGCCTGTGATTCATGACCACAAGTCAGCGCTGGTCACCATCACAAAAACAAATTCACACTTCCAAATAGGGTAGTATGAGTGTCGTTTAAAAGCCTACAGGAGGGGATTTACACATCTACACAGGCACACAGATAGACCAGTAATGTATTGAACACCCACCTTCTGAGCTTTCAGTTCCACATCCAGGGCTCGGGCCAGCTCCAGCATCATGGCGCAGGGAACAGCAGAGTCCGTGGCTCCCTGGAACTCCCTGCCGTGCCACTGGGGGGGGTAGTACTTGGAGTCGTAGTGGCAAGCCAGGACCAGCTGGCGGGTGGCTGATGAGTTGAGAGTGGCCACTAGGTTAGTGAAGGGCAGGGGGCCGTAGGGGGTTTGTGACATGAACTTATCCTCCGTCACCTCCCAGCCCGCCCCCAGGCCAGCCAGGACGGTTTTGATATGCTGTGAACACATGCAAAGATGTAATGTTAGTAATGAAGAATCAGCTGGGAACTCACTTTATTACACACTTAAATAATAAGTTGATTTACGTCTATGGTCATTAAACTTGTTTAAACACAAATTAGTCTGCTTTACACCTGTTAGTTCCTAATTCTTCAGGAATGAAACACCGTTTTATAATAACTTCCTGAATTGGCTGTATTTCCTATGATAAACATTGAGGCCTAATAAATATGATATGCTTATGTGAATAAAGTTCCTGGATGTTGCCAAATAAATTGAGTTTTAAATGAGGTTATGGTATCTTTTTTCATATTGTTTATTCCATTTTTGACAAATATGTGTATGTATGTTTAATGCCGGGTAGTAGGGAAGTTACATATCTCTTTTTCAACGTATATCAGATTAAAATAAATTCTATTATAATATTATCATTTTGTTACAGGCCTGAGCTTGATGAAGTAGTAAACAAATGGACATCAACGGGGATTGTATTGATGCCTTCAGATTCATAAATACACACATTAATCATAAGATGAATGTGTGATTTTACACACTGTTCCTCACGCATTATTCTTAATATGAAAATAATAAGCCTTCCAGTCAGTGGTGCCACTTCCTCCTTGAATTAAGCCACTAAGATCATTGGGTAAGTGATTTATCAGTGCCATAAATGTATGAAGCTGTCTCATTTCCTTTTCATTTGGCGCCAAGTCTTTCTGTGGGAAGTACTCTAAAGACTTCTTAATACAGTGGGATGGGATTTGCCTTGATTCCAATTAAATAACATGTATTTGCGTACCCAACTGCTTTGCTACACCTGACCAGTACTTAATAGAACAGTCCCAATCATTTCCAGCAGACACTTTCCAGCAGGGGTGTCAAACTCAATTTAATCGCGGGCCACATCAGCATTATGGCTGCACTCAAAGGGCCGGTTGTAACTTATATATAAATATATATAAAATAATGCATTATATTACATTATTGCCTCTGCATTGAATTATTATAGGGTAATAACTTCATAATTAACTACGTCTGAAAGCAGAAGTCTGGGGCAAATAATTGCAAGTCTCTTCAGTGAGAATGTCACAAAATGATTTAAAAAGAAAAGCTGGAAAAAAGTTGAAACCAAGTGACATTTTTTTTAAAAGGAAGTGACATTTAAAAAAAAGAGTCAAAATCTGAGAAAAGGGCACATTATAAGAAAAAAGGCATATTTAGAAGGAAGAAAGTCAAATTCTGAGAAAAAAAGTCTAATTTGAGATGCATTTAGTTTATGGGCAATGTGCTTCTGTAAATCGGCATGTAACCGTATAATAAACATATCATATTCTTTGCAAGCTCTTGTGGGGCCACAGAAAATGAGGTCACGGGCCGGATTTGGCCCCCGGGCCTTGAGTTTGACATCCCTGCTTTACAGTGTTCTATATTGTAGCTATAAGAGTTTCTATCAATAAACTCACCTCCTGCACGGCCGTGCTGCCTGCAGAGCCGGGGTACCTGGTGACCAGCAGCGGCCTCAGGTCCCTCTGCCACATCTGCTCCAGGTCAGTGTGAGACACAGCCGTGCTGATCTCAGCTCGTGTTAGAGTGAAGGCTCGGTGATGGAGCTGGACAGAGCCAGAGGAACAAGACAAACAAGACAAGACAACACAAAATGGATGAGAAACAGCATCGTGCTCTATTGTAGGATGAAATTAAATATGTTCAGAAAGACTATTGCGAGGTAATCATATCAGCTAAACATCAGTGATGTGATCGGATCCCTGTTAAGCATTGCAGTGTTGCAAACAGAGTATGAAACACAGCAAATTACAAAGCAATATTCACCTCCACCAAACAGTTTGTCTGTGTGATTATTAGAAGGATTAAAGGCAAGTTATTTGCCCAATGCCACATTTGGGGAGAGGAACCAAAAAACTAATTCAGAAAATGATATTTAATTCAAAAATCATTGCAAGATAGGGCTTGAGACTGTCCTTCTAGTTACTCCTACTTACTGTCCGTGTCTATTAGATTATGACACACTTTCAGATCAACTGTCACAGTCTGCTCCATCATTCACCAGTAGTTTTCCATTCACCTGTCTCACCTGTTAACCACACCTACGTTTTTGCTCACTCTCTTTCTCTTCTGCACCCATTAGTTTCACTGCCAGTATTTAAACCCTCACCAGACACACACCCGTTGCCAGATCGTACTTTGTTTTTATGCTAGTCTTTCACATGTTTGTTGCCTACCCGGTTCCGACCCTGCCTGTCCCTGACCTGCCTGTTCCCCGACCCTGCCTGTCCCTGACCTGCCTGCTCTGCCTGTTCCCCGACCCTGCCTGTCCCTGACCTGCCTGCTCTGCCTGTTCCCCAAACCCTGCCTGTCCCTGACCTGCCTGCTCTGCCTGTTCCCCGACCCTGCCTGTCCCTGACCTGCCTGCTCTGCCTGTTCCCCGACCCTGCCTGTCCCTGACCTGCCTGCTCTGCCTGTTCCCCGACCCTGCCTGTCCCTGACCTGCCTGCTCTGCCTGTTCCCCGACCCTGCCTGTACCTGACCTGCCTGCTCTGCCTGTTCCCCGACCCTGCCTGTCCCTGACCTGCCTTTGCCTGCTGTCTGACCCTCTGCCCGGCCCTGACTCACCTTCTGCCTGCTGTCCTCTGGTTCGTTTGCCTGCACATCATCCGGCTGATACTGTTCTGCTGGTATCCCTCTGTTCTGGTATTATTACCAATAAAGTACATTACCAATACTCCTGGGTGTCTCGAGTGCTGCATTTGGGTCCTTCATCAGATTGTGACATCAACTACTTCTTAGTATAGGATTTGGGAACATTTTCTATGATGCTTTACTATTGAGCAACATGATGATACACATCCTGCAGAACAACTGTGTGTCACAACACTGTCATATCACTGGAAACCACCTACTGGGTCTGTCAAAAGTGGATTTTTGATTGTCCAGTTAATAAGTTACTACAGGAGAAAATGTACCACAAGAGGGACTTTTTACTGTCAGCTACTGTCATATCACATACATGGTAATGTCTTAAAAATGATACCCTCACACATCTTTGCAGAGAGGCAGGTCCAATTAGACCAGTGTGAATAAACACTGATTGGATCTTTTCACATTCACACAAAGGCGACTTTAGTAAAAAAAGGCCTCAGAAAAAGAGACAGGAAAGTGAAGGGTGCTTGCATGCTCTCCTGTGCCCTAAGATATGATTATAAAAGGAAAAGCAAATACACCAGTTTGTTTAGTCAAAGGAGCATAATGTGGATTTGCAGGTTTCGAGCTGCCAATTCAATGTTTGCTAAATTACAGCCATAAGGTTAAAAAAACACATTGATTCTTCGATCCCCATGGCTCTTTTTCATTTGGTCTCAAAGTTCACCTGCTGGTTGTCCTGGTAACTAACTGAACGGAGAGGAACGACAGAGAGCAAGAGGGAAAGAGCTGATGGTGGATATCCGAGTTAAGCCTGTTTGTGTGTTCTCAAAGGTTCTCAATGTGATATACGGGGGTTATAGAATCCATACTGACAATTATTTGAATGATCAATTATTCTGTTGATTTAGGATTGGGCAATATATCGATATTGTTATACGAGTGCATATATTATCTTACATTTTGAATATTGTAAATGTTTATTTTCCTGGTTTTAAAGGCTGCATTACAGTAAGGAAATGTAATTTTCTGAATTTACCAGACATTTGGCTTTACTTTTATTGGCCTGTACCCACTTAGTCCATAAATAGACATTACTGTAATTAAAGTGATCAATATTTCCAAAATGTCAACACTACAATATTGTCACAAATCTATATTGTGGCACTTGTTCCGTAATGCTGTCATATTTGATTTTATTCATATCACCCTGCCCTTTGTTGACTGTTTAATCGATCAATTGTTTAGTCTTTAAGATGTTAAATAGCTTAAAATCAGATCACATATACCCAGAGACCATGGAGACATATTTTCTCTATTGCTTGTTTTTTTATGACCAACATTCCAAAACCCAAACAACACAAAAACATGTAACAACATTTTTGCTTCATTAAGTCTTGAGATTTATATGAGAAATCACAGTGGGGATTCTTTGCCGTCCTAAAATGGTGTCCCTTTACTGTCTGATGACACATTCCTTAACATGAGCATTCACGTATGAAACCTGAGTTGGGCCCGCACTGACTGGCTGTAATTACAGAGTGACATACAGTTCCACATGTATAATTATGTGGTTAAACAGAATACAGTCAGTCACAGAGCTAGGGCTCACTGAGTCCAGAGAGGGTTAAAAGGGGGTCCACTTAAGCTCTATAAATACCAAGACCTGCAATTGGAGGATCAATGACGATGACTGTGCTGCCATAGCAACTAGGCATAGAGAAGAGAAGAAGAATAACACAAATGAAGAACATGAGGGGCCAGGCATGCCCCTGATGAGAGGTGCTAGAATACAATGAATACATAAATGATGCATATTAACACTGTATGCGAACTTTGCCTTTCTCATAATGAGTATTCTAGCTATAGATTGCCATTTTGAAAGGAAACACATGCTTACAGAGACACAATATACAGTATATGTCCGATATATGGAACCTAAGAATTTCATTGACTAACCTACTGTAGCTACTGTGCATATGAAAATAAAATCCTTGAATCTTGAATATAAACATAATTGGAGTTAATCATGCAGTTCAGGGTTATGGTTGATTTGCTGTCAAGTTAGGGGGGGGGGGGGAAGTAAACAAGATATAGCCTACTGAGTTAATCCGTAATTGCAATCCTTCATGTAAACTTCATCCAAAGGAGGATACATGACAATACATTCATAAAAATCCTACATGCTTAAAATGTTCACTTTTGTAGACAGTTGTCTGGGTGTTCAAACATACAATTAACACATGACTGCCTGGCAAACATTTTAAGACAACACAATGGGGAAATGACCTCTTGATTTATGTACCTTTTCTTCTGTCCAGGGAATTCCATCGGTGCAGTGGATGAGTGTCACCCAGATGGCCACAGTGTAAAATAAACGCATTTTGGAGGGACCGAGGCTTCGCTCAGCCATCGCTGTTGTCGCTCCTCTCCACATTCCTGCCTCTTCTCTGTGAAAGCTACAGATCATGTGAAACACAGGAGGGAGGACCCGAGGCTCACAATCCACATCGCGTCACTGGAGCTACTGTATGTGTGTGTGTGTGTGTGTTTACGATTCATTCACTCACAGTAAACAAGTTCGGTAATGTTAGAAATATATTTGTTACCAAATAAAGGTTGTAAAAAAACAATTCAAGACTTCAAGAATTGTGTGGTTGGTAACACTTTGCTGCATCATAGTTATGGCATGACCTAATTCCTGGTCAGCGTTTTAGATTTAAGTTTAATTCACAAAAACACACCCCAAAACACCATAGCCAGCCTGTATTTTTAAAATTATCGTATAGATAGGCCTACTTATAATGCATCTGTGTGAAGTACGCGTACACTTAATGCAACATCTATTTTCACAAATACACATTCATAGCATTACAAATGAATTGCTTATTTTAGTGGGAAATCAGTGCTTCATACGTCACCTAACACGTGGCTCGTTGTCACGTGGTTAACCCGGAAGTTTGTGCGCGTGTGCTTCATTTGTCAACATGTTCCTCTAACACTATTGAATAGTGGCACATTTTGAATTATAGAATTGTTTTATATATACATATTTAGTTTGCAACTGCACGTGTTTTCAACCAGAAGCCATGACTGACGAGGTGGGCTATTTGAAAGCACAGCTCGAGGAGAAAGAGAAAGACATAGTCGCTCTGAAGAATAAACTGGCACATCTGGAAAAGGTACGAACGTTTTACTGAATGCTATTACGTACTGAAGCATGATGTTATGATATATTCGCCTCATTAGTTTATAGCCTTTAGCGTTGATGGCGTATCAATATAGTCCAGAATAACAGCACGTTAGAGCCAATAAGGTAACTCTTATGTTAAAAGTGAAACTTGATAGACAGCTAACTAACGGATTATATCTGTATTTAACTACCTTTCTGTCCCCGTAGTAACGTTACTTTTAGGTTTGATAACCCACAGGCATATACTCCGGAGATGTGTCCTACTCTAGAGTAGTTACAATGTTCCGATGATTAGAAGTCACATGACATGTAAACTCTTGAATCAGACCCAAGAGTTTTAAATGAGAAAACTTCATATAGAATATAAGAAGCACTACAATTCAATTAAAAAAAGGTGGTTCATACTCGTCCAGTATAATAATGTTAGTGTAGTTTTTAAGCTATTAAAAAAAATACGAGACTTTTCAATAAAAACTAATCTAATATGAAAAGGAGCAGAGACCCATGCCATTTAAAACACATACAGCAGTGGTGGGAAGTAACCCAGTAAATGTACTCACTTGTGTTTTTTTACTTGTGTACATTTTTAAAGTACTTGATAATGGTTGCATTTCAATGATATGCTACTTTATACCTCTTCTCGTCTACATGTACAATACTCACGTTTCACTCCTCTTCATTTATCAGACAGCTATTACATTTTTTTTACACTTTTAGAATATAATTTTGTATACATTTCAGATATGTATGAGTGGTTAGCAGTTTCCCCAAAGAGACATGGAACATCAAAACTTTTCACTTGTTTTTTTTTACTGTCATTACTGTTTTTGCAAATCGGTAACATCTTCTTATACTTAACAAAATAATAAAAGTTTAGATAAATCTGGAAAATATAAAGATTAGTAAAGACTTAGTTTCTTCATATTGTTGACCCCTAGGTTGTAAACCACTGGACTAAACAAGCTAACCGTTTATAATGTTTTAAAACTAGTTCACCTCAGGCAGGGGAAAGAGGAATTATTTAAGTTTTTAAAATAGTGGATATTGCAAAAGAGATAAAGCACACATAACACATATTAAATTCTGAATGGAATATAAATAAGCATACAATAAGCCACCTAAATCCCTCCATATGAATCAAGCTTTTCCCAAATAGCGCCTTATGTCCAGCATATGGGCTGTAAAGATATGTAAAGAGAGACATATGTAGCTTATTGTATTACAAAGGCATGCTGTGGTGGGCTGTGATGCCACATGGCTCAAAAATCCTGTTTAAACTCGTTTCTTATATCTATATGTGTTATCATTCCTCTCTGGTGGGTGTGATATTAGAGCAATGCCTCAGTACTGGAGCTGTATGAAAAAGTGACACCCCTAACGCCGCTTAAAGCCAAAGCATCCCTCAGCAATGAGGACATCATGAGGTACAGCAGACAGCTCCTTCTGCCCGAGCTCGGTGTACAAGGTATGGATTTGAATTCTCATGTACTACAGTAAGCATTCTTTCAACTGAGATTCATGACATGACCGACCACAACAAAGTGAATCTTTATTGTCCACAGGTCAGCTAAACCTATCCAAGACCTCAGTGCTGGTGGTGGGCTGCGGGGGACTGGGCTGCCCCCTGGCTCAGTATCTTGCAGCAGCAGGCATCGGTAGGTATTCATAATGATTAATGCCAAACTAATCAAATCATTAACTCTGAAATACATTTGCTGATGGGTGTGACTAATTGACGGGTTTGTCTTCCCCTTTAGGCAGGGTCTTTAATTAGCAATTTGTCCTAGTAGCTGTTAAACTGAATAAGTGTACCTGCTGGGATGGGATGGTTTGCTGGCAAAATTATTTATCATTATTGCCCAAAAAAAATGGTCATCCCTCCCATTTAAAAAAAAAAAGAAGAAAGAAAATGTAAACTTATACTTTATTAGTTTTTTAACACATTCCCCTTTACATCTAGTGTTCCAATTTAGATGAACAGTTTCTTTAACAAGGGGTCACAACAGGGGCGGACTGGGACTAAAAATCAGCCCGGGAAACTCGAAGCCCAACTCGGTGCCGCTAGTCAATTGTCAACGCGGGGGGTGGGGGGGGGGGCGGGGTACCGGCCCATGGCCAGTCCGCCCCTGGGTCACAATATGTATAAGGTCTCAAATCCGAAAAATGTAACATGAGAATATGAAAAACAAAACGTATAGAAACCAAATCTATAATAACACTGAGAATGTAAATAACACAAGTACACATACCACTCATTTTAATTCTGTCAAATCAGGTACAAAGGGCAAAAGGACAAGAGTATGTTAACAGACGTTATTTATTTTTTGAACATTTTTTCTTCTGCGCTCAAATGTATACTTTCCTCAGGTAACATTTTATACACACTTTGTCAATGAGAAAGTTTGAGAGTAGGCAACAACTACATATAAAGGAAGTGCCAGTCATGTCTGCTTAAGGCACACTGTGATACATCTTTACCCTGGTTTTGGGGTTTAATCCAGATAGTTTAATTACTTGGGTTTGACAGTTTCCTCTCTGTGTCTCTGCAGGGCGCCTGGGCCTGCTGGACTATGACGAGGTGGAGCTTAGCAACCTGCACAGACAGGTGCTTCATGGGGAGGAGAACCAGGACCAGGCAAAGGCTCTGTCTGCTGCTAATGCAATTAAAAGGTACAAATGAGCTACATTCATACATACATTGGTCCCAAAACAGATTTGAAACATAGAAGTTAGTATTTTGATATTATTAGGACATGTTCTCTAACTATGATAAGTGGTGTGTGTTGTGATTTGTAACCATTTGGTCAAGTGTAATGCATGCTGGCGCTTTCCAGTCTCACCACAGGTTATATTTGGTTGTGTATTTCTCCCCAGTCTGCAAAAATTCTGTAAACATGTTATTTTAGAGACAGCTTTTTCTGGTGCCATTTCCTTCACACTGGGCCCACTGTGGTGTGGTACACACAAACACACATTGCATAGCCACAACCACATGAGGGCGCTATATCTCTGAATAACAGATAGTGCAGGGTTTAAATGATGCGTCACTTTTTTATGTAAGTTGGTAATTACTGATCACTCGCAGGTACAACTTCTAATACAAGAGTCTTGAGTCATAATGCAGGTTTTGATGATGATTTTTCATAGTTGAGACAAGTAAAGATTATGAGGGTAATGGTAGGGCAGGATGTGAGTAAGGTCTCATGTCAGATTAAAAACTTGCATGTTGCAGTTTTGTGGTTTGTTCTTGGTCCTTAATGAAGCACGAAAATTACCCTCATATTTGACAGTGATAGGAATACTCTTCTGATGTGTTAAAGTAGCTTATCAAGGACAATCAAACCTGATGTTATAGGAAATTAATTAATATGTCTCAATGTGACTTTATATCCGCAGATTGAACTCTACAGTAGAGTGTATTCCCTACCACCTGCAGCTCTCGTCGGAGAATGCCTTGCAACTCATTCAACAGTATCCTCAACCTACAACTGTTACAGATATGCTAGTCTATGGAAAATGAAACAGCCATCAATTATATCTGATACAGGCATATGATTGCTTTTAATGCATGACTTCAGATATTCAGTTGGGAAATGTATATACGTGACTAACACATTTGTGATGACACCTTGACCTCGCTGACCTCATATATGACATTGTTGCCGATTGTTCAGACAACGTCCCCACGCGGTATCTGGTGAATGACGCCTGTGTGCTCAGTGGCAAGCCTCTGGTGTCAGCCAGTGCTCTGAGAATGGAGGGGCAGGTACAGTAGAAAGGCCACATTCAGGTAGCAAGAGTCCATCAGCTACACTACATTATAATGTGAGAAAAGCCGTGTGTGTGTGTGTGTGTGTGTGTGTGTGTGTGTGTGTGTGTGTGTGTGTGTGTGTGTGTGTGTGTGTGTGCGTGTGTGTGTGTGTGTGTGTGTGTGTGTGTGTGTGTGTGTGTGTGTGTGTGTGTGTGTGTGTGTGTGTGTGTGTGTGTGTGTGTGTGTGTGTGTGTGTGTGTGTGTGTGTGTAGCTGACAGTGTATAACTACCATGGAGGCCCCTGCTACAGATGTCTGTACCCGGTCCCCCCACCCTCAGAGACAGTGACCAACTGTTCTGACGGAGGGGTGTTAGGAGTGGGTGAGTGTTGTCCCCTTCACTTGCTCAGGAGCCATTAACTGTGCACAAAGTACAGTCTGTGCAAATGTAAATGATAGTTTTAAGTCAAACTTTCCACTTTTCTTTAAGTTCCAGGGATAATGGGCTGCTTCCAAGCTCTGGAAGTCCTCAAGATTGCCTCCGGACAAGGCTGTATCCTTTTCCATTCTGAACTCCCACTCTATATACAGGGCCCTCCTGAGACATTTAGTTGCTTTTCATCTGTTTAGGTTTTGCTTCACAATTTTCTGCCCAGTCATCCGGATGAATCAACAAAGAACTGCTGAAATCTTCTTTTATTCTAGCAAAGTAAGGTATGACAATCATGTTTTGATTAAATATAGCCGAAAGTTGAAACACTGCTGACTTTTCATTTGCGATTCCTATGAGAGCTCTATTTGAAGCTGTAAAAGTGTTCTTATGCGAATAAAGACCAACATTAGAGAATATATGATATATTCACCCTATCCTGCCCTCTGTCCAGCATTGTGATACCAATCCTAACACCTGGTCCCTATGCGTCACCCAGGGAAGGACTGTATTATTTTCCTGCCTAAATGTTGCTATGGTTTTCATTCACAAATGAAAACATGTTAGCCGATTCTCTGAAAGTCGTGTATCCTTTTCCTTGACCTGTCGGGCCAGCTTCCTGCGGCCAACAGCTGGTGATGTTTGACGCTCAAGATGCCAGATTCAGGTCCATCAAGCTGCGGCCCAAGCAGGCAGGGTGTGCAGTGTGTGGAGAGAACCCCAGTGTGACGCGGCTGGTGGACTATGAGGCATTCTGTGGCTCTGCTGCCACTGATAAGGTGGGCAAAAGAGAAAGAGCCTAGTATTACTGGGTCCTTTTCACAGTATTTGTTTTGTCTTACAGTGTGTCTTACAGCAACTTCATTTTCCCATTTAATACACAGTACATGTCATTATTTTGTAATCATAGGATCTCTCATTGCCCTGATGTTTCCATGTTTTTCAGTGCCGCAAACTCAACCTTCTTTCCAGAGATCAGAGGATCACAGTACAGGTAGGGAATATATCGTCCAGAGAGGTTTGGATATTGCGTGACTCCCTGTATTTAGTGCTGCTTATTCTATGATTACTCACAATTTTCTCAGTTTTCACGTGCATTTACCAAACTGATTACATCTCAGCGCTGACCCAGCCCCAAATGGGAAATGACTTAAAATGTGCCTGTAGATTTTCTATGGGAAAGAATAACACGTTCTATTTGGCATTGAGAGCAGCCACAGTGGATTGCATCTGTTTTCTAGAGAATCAGTGCTTTCAAACCCGCTGAGTCATTAGTCGCAGAGATTGGGATCATGATTGATTGGGCTGAAATCGAGATTGTGAAAACGAGGTTCCAGTTAGAAAACAGTTTTGTTTCCTGTGATTTAAGAAAAAAGCACTTTAAGTGTTCTTATTACTCCAAAAATGCAAATCAAAGCATCATTTCAACATTTGCTGTAATTATGATTGACCTGCTGTATAGATATAAATCAATGTCTTGTCCCAAGAGATAAGGCAGTACTTCTCTCTAATTATTAAGTTTAATAGTTGTGTATTAAGGACTGTTTTAATGTAATTCCAGGATTATAAATCGATAATGGACACTGCAGAGCCCCATCTCTTGTTGGACGTGCGCCCTCTTGTGGAGGTGGATATATGCCACTTACCTACCTCCCTCAGTATCCTTTTTTTAGAGATTGAAGCACAAAGTCAATCTCCTATTTACCATTTCTGTGTAATTATTCTCCTTATATTGTTGCCAGACATTCCCCTCTCAAGTTTAGAGTACAGGAAGAGTGAACATATCCAGTTACTGCAGGAGAGTATCAGCCAATTAAAGCAGCAGATGGAAGGTGACTGCAGGCCTCCAGGTAAAGTGCCAAACACCCTTTAGGGTCCGTACATGTTGTCTGAAATGAACAGGCACGTAGAGCCGCACTCGTGCATATTCACACGCTGCTACTGTGTGGTCTCATACTGCCCGGCCACAGGCTTATTTTGGACAGCTAGTTTGTAATGGGGTTGCTAGGTGACACCTTTTTCCAAAACAAGTACGTTCAACCTGAGCATCTGGCTTGCGTTAGAGAAATTAATATTCACAATGTTATTTTGGTGATGTTCTGGTTATTCACTGTGTTGGGCTTTCTTTATCAATGAGCTAAATATAGCCTCAACACACTGTTGGTTGTTTATTATATGCTCAATCAACTCTATGATTTAAAGTATTTCCCTTTTTCATTAAATGAAACATTTGTATAATTCAAACTTATGTGTGCAGCTTTTGTGCCTTCACGTTTTTAAGTGTTTTCTTTTATTATTTAAAGTAGTAAAGGTTGAACATTTGAAGTAAATTAGTCATATGAATCGGACGTGTATTAAGGGGGCCCTATTATGCCTTTTGCGTTTTGCCCTTTCTTATAGTGTGTTATATAGGTTTTTGTGCATGTAAATGTTCTGCAAAGGCTAAAATCCCAAAGATCCCTCCAGAAGGAGTTTCTCTCCCACGCACTCCCACCCCCCCTGTCTGAAACTTCCGTATAGTGACATCACTATGTCACACTCACACTTCATTGTGACTAGCACACTTGGCTGTCACTCCAACACATTGTAGGTGATAAGCTAAGGGGTGAGACATCTCTTAGTAGTTGACCGATCACAACAGAGCCGCGCTAACTAATCAGAGCAGACTGGGCTCTGGTTTCAGACAGAGGGTGAAAAGAGGTGCAGCAACACAGGCAGTATGAGGAAAATAAAGACTTTCGATCAATAAAACATCTAAACATGTCACAGTAGAGGCCCAAAATACAATTATGAACCTGAACATTAGCATAATTATTAATAGAGCCCCTTTAAGTCTTTAATGTCACCAAACTAACCTCTCAGTATTTTCCCTCTCCTGATTCCTACAGTGTATGTAATCTGCAAGATGGGCAACGACTCCCAGAAGGCGGTGCAAGTCATGGAGAAGATGAGTGGATCCGAAGTGGACAGTATTACAGTGAAAGACATCAGTGGAGGCCTCATGGCTTGGGCGAAGAGAATTGACCCCACATTTCCACAGTACTAATTCATCAATTTAAAAGTCAATAAACTGAATTATGTTTTTCGTCATTGTTGATTTTATTTGTATGAGAACTGAACATCATGCTTACCACTAAATTGACTAATGTCATCAATGAATGTAATGTTATTAATGTCCTGTACCAAGAAACAATGGAGCAGTTCCTAAAAAGTGTTGTGTAGTGTAGTTCAGTTCATCGAAAAACACAAGCTGGCAGTTAGATAACACGTAAGCATACTTGCAAAATCAGGTCCCTCTTGCTGTTTTTCTTTGAAGTAGTAATAGTTAATTAACCTATTACCCAATAAATAAAACCTGCACTTTTCACGCTAGTGTCCTGAAGCAGACGCAATAACCTACTTAACATCCCTTTACATTTATTGAGAGATTGAGAGACAACACTGCTTCTTTTTTTTGTTTTTAGCTTAAAGAAAGCTGAAATAAATCCATATTTCTGGGGACATAAAGGACCCCCTTAACGGGCCTTTGAGGACTCCTGGCTGGACCCCACTTTGGAAATCAGCACTACAAACTGACCCGGGTCGTGTAAAAAAAAGTGTTTTCTTGACATGGCCAAGTTGAAATAACGGAAAAGAAAGGCACATGCGCATTGGCTTGAGCTCCATCGGAGGCGCCATTGCTTCACAGGGACTGTAGTTCAAGTTTTCCTCCCAACACATGGAAAGTCAGTTATGCGGAGATAATAAAAAGACTCCAAGCCCCAGCCACGGTGGCCGCTCTTTTCTCGTCAGGCAGGGGGAGTAGACACAGCTGGAAGGATAATAAGATGCGTATGAATTTACAATCTGGAATAAAAGATAAGAGAAACTAAATGGACGGCTCAGTCAGTCTCTGCACGCCTGTGTGTAACACTTATGTCGGTGTGTGTTACATGTGAGCTGCGATCGCTGCGCTTTGGTGTGTGACTTCCACAAAGTGCAGAGTCTTAAACTTCAGGCTCCGCTTTCCTCAGTTGATGGAGTTACACAGTTTCTTCAGTAAGCTCACAATGGAAAGAAAAGCACCCTTCGCTGACTGTGAAGGTAACGTATTACTTCAGAGAGATTCAAGACTTCGTTTGATTGCAAACGGGCTTTATGTATGGGGATAGTAGAGCTACAACAAAGTGAATGTGTAGATTCAGCTCTTGTATAACTTGTTTTGCTGGCATTCTCGACTCGGGTTGTGTTCTGCCAGCAAGCCTATCGAAAGTGGGAGGGGTGCAGATGTTAAGAAGCCTTGCTTCCAGATGTTTGTGGAGTTTGAATTATTGTAAACACAGAAATGATACGCTTTATCAACTTTTACATCTCTTTTACGTTACCAATGCACTGTTTGTTGTGCCCGTTGTTAAAACACTTGTGTTAGTTTACAAAATTGTCAAAAAAGGTAGATAAACGAGTTAAAATAATGATGTTATACACACACGTTAAAGCTCCTTTAGCACGGGCCATTTACAATGAAACAATATGAGCTAGCTTAAAGCTAACCCTAGGAAGCACCTACCACCAAAACAATGCAAGGCAACAGTCTACAACACAAGTTTATTATATTAGTAAAGTAGGCTACAGTAAAATAAAGTACAATTTCTTTAAAAATTCATTCTAGTAAAGTGATTAATTTTGTGTTGTGGGTTGGTAGTGAAATCCATTTTCTGAGTGTGTTTTTCTACATTAATTCAACTTAAAAGGGATTTGCATAGGTAAGAAGAGTAGTTGTTTCATTCATACACTATGGCTGCTTTACACCAGTCCACTTATACTGTCTCTACCCCTGTATTCAGATAGGTGAATACTTTTTTTATAATAAAAATAGCACTATACGTGTGTGTTTGTTTCTGTGTATGTTTGCGGTGACAGGCTTCCTGTGGTCAGAGTGGATTACTGACTTCAGTAAGGAGATGGAGCGCCACTTCTGGATATGAGGCTTGCTGCAGTGACTTTGCTGCAGAAGTCTGCGGACTGTCCACACACGTTTTCTCCCTCACCTGCCCGTCTACTGAACGAGTGTGTGTTGGGTGAGCTCAGGTGGGTGGAGTCGCCTATTAGCCTCTTAATTTATGAAAAGCAATGTCATTTGGATAAAAAACATAGTGCTGACTCACTCCCACTGATGAGGACCAAAGATTCCCCTTACCAATAGTCGACTGTGCTTTTTTTGGCCAGTCTTTATTAAAACCTCCACTATTCAGCATTCCACGTCACCATTGGAAGAAATCCAATGTCTGCCTCCTCTCCCCCATCTTTACCTCGAGCCTTCCTCCACTCTCTCTATCCGCACCACCCATCCTCCTCGTCCACCTCGTCGTCCACCACAACGCCAAGCTCACCCGGACCTCTCTACACCCGGCTGTCCAACGGCAGTCACAGCGTCCCCAGCCCCACAAACTCCCGCAGCTCCTTCCATGGGGTGTCTTTCCTGCTGCAGATAGGGCTGACCAGAGAGACGGTGAACCTGGAGGCTAGTGACCTGTCGCTGTCCGCTGTTAAAGACCTGGTGTGCTCCATAGTGGACCAGAAGGTAGGCATCTCATTAAAACACACTTGTATATGATTCAAATGTCAGTACAAGACATCAAACATGTTCTCTCTAATGTACTCTTGAAGGGAAAGCTTTTCAACCAACACACACATAGCTTGTTTTTCAAACTTGAGGACAGTGGACATGATACATCAACATGTGCTCTGCTGTCTTCTACCATATTCATCTGTTTAGGTTTTGTTTTCCAAAGCAGACATCTGGGCCTCGTGCCCCAAAATGAGTCAAACACCGCAGAAGCATGCACACAACAGCACCGACGCTCCTCCAGTCACAGGACACAGTGTAGTAGCGCCAGTTATTTACATTGTGGTATAGAGTTACTGGACTTACTGTACATGATGTAAGCGCAGGCACACAAGCTCGACTGCACACACATACAGTGGTTTTGCTGAGGTTGGCCCCTCTTTATTTTCCATGACATTAATGTATTGTAATGACACTGCGTGTAGCCTCAGTAGCTTCAAGTGCAAAAAGTATACGCTTCATCATTTGCCATCTCGTATTTTTTCGTGTGTGAAAATATCCAAAGTGCAAATCAACGGCGCCAGCTTTAATTTGCCTGTTCTTCTTACTTTGTACTGACAGAGGTCTGATCGCAGTTTGAGTCTGCCCGATTTTTAACGTGTATAATAACAATACATTTAAAACATTCCAAATGTTGTTTCTGATATAAAGTGGCTCCATATATGGTACTCAAAAAGAGCAGACCCCTTTAAAGGCCAATGGTGGATTTATAGAACTATTGAATGGACACATTTTGAGAGTTGAGACAGCGATATTATGACTTTAGGGTGTTTATGAGTTTTGTCAAAGAAGTTGTAATGTGGACGTCAAAAAGGAAATATGTTGTATTTTATTGCTCAAGGCATTTAAAACAAGGTTTCTGCAAAAGTTATTCCGATTCGATTAAGGGGGGATTTCTGTAGTCTGATTATTCCAACACGGATGCAGGTGCCCTATCTCGCTTTCTTTGTACGAAAAATCATCCACCCCATAATTCACAAAAGTATTTAGACAATGATAAATCCCCAGCACCACAGATATTGTATATTTTATATGAAGTAGTTTTGTTCATCAGGATAATATATTCATGGATTATTGCATGCCCCAAATAGGAGTGTTTCACATAAATATATGGATTAAACTAGTGCCCCATTTTCACAGTAATTGGTACAGTATAGGGGTGTAACGGTATCCGTATTCGTCCCGTACCGTCACGGTTCGGCACCTATGTTCGGCACACGCAGTCACACGACGAATACGCCTTTTTTTTATGAGTGGGAAAAAAGTGTCATTCAGGGCAGTATCCACTACACTATTTATAATCCAGGGGGCGGTATTGCGCCTAAAAGCTGTTTGCCAGCCGCCCTTAAACAACAAATGAAGAACAAGAAGAAACACAACAACAAAACGAACAAAATACAAGAAGAAGAAAAGTTAGTATGGCGATTTCAGATAACACAGGAGCTAGAACCCACCTGCTTCTTTTAAATCAGCTGTGTGGGAACATTTCGGGTTCCCTGTGGACTACAATAACGATGGAGTGTACGAGTGGTGGATCGGACGAGGACGGTGTGTCGCCGTTGTTCTACAGTGGTAGCGGTATGCTAATGGTAACACACGCCAAACGTGCTAAATCATATCAGAAGGCATCACCCAGATTTGCCACTCACCGGAGCCCGGCAAAAGACAGCAGCAGTTCAACAGCTGATCCCCGCTGTTTTTATAAACCAATAGACATAAAAGCCGAGAGACCAAAATAAATAACGGAAGCTTTTGGCATATGTTTTTCAACGACTTTGCGCTCTTGAAACACTTTCTTATTATTTATGATGTCATATTTTCAAGACATTCTTTTTAGTTTTACAGCTTAATGAAACCTTTTTGTTTGACATCAGCCATTATAGATAATATGGCCATCTGAGTGTACTGTGTATGGTTTGTTTTGAACTGTTTAATACAATTCATTATTCAAAAAAGAGTTCTTTATTTTTAAACTGAAACTTGCACTACTGTTCAATCATAAATAACAACAAACCTGGAATTATGCATTTGGGACTTTTTTTTGCTTTTTCTTGTTGTACCGAACCGTACCGAACCGTGACCTCCAAACCGAGGTACGAACCGAACCGTGACTTCTGTGAACCGTTACACCCCTAGTACAGTAGAATTCAAAGTAAATCAAATAATACATTTTGTATAAGTATTCCTAACATGTACAGTAGATGCTTTAAACGTCTCACTCAGCTTTTGTCTTATTTGACCCATACACGTGTACTTCATAGTTGTGTGGGATTAATGGTGAGCAAAGCCTGTTGGAATGAAATGAAATGGCTCCTGTGTGCATCCACATGTTACTGTTTGTATAACCTCTCGTGTGTGATGGCGATTACACCCTTTGTGTCAGTAATTATTATCGACTCAACAAAAAAGAGGGAGATTAAGCAAAGCACTTTCATCAGCCACCGGGATGTGAACACTAAGGTCGGTCAGAGCTATATGTATGTTTGTTGAGTTGATGATAATGGAAATAAAAACCAGAATGAGGAACAGACGTGGAAGACAGTGAAGGAGCTATCTGTGTTTGGCCTGTGTCCTTTGCTTCCATGTTGTCCAAGTTGACATTCCTGAGGAGCAGGGTAATGTTGTTGTTCTTTACGAGGTCTGCTGATTCTCACTAGCTAGTTATGAACAGTTCTGGTCCGCAGAGCAGAACATCTCATCATTGCGCTTATTTACATGGATACTGTAACATATTGGCAGAGTTGCAAGAATCTGTAACAGGAAAAGGGTGGGAAATACAATGCTTTGAAGACAAACCCAGTTAGAGAAAACCAGTGCATTTGAATAGTGAGTGGGTGCTGATAATCTGCCAAGATGAGATCAGGATCACCTTTCGCATATGTGCAATGATATCACTGTGTATAACGTTATATCACGTGCATTCCATGCGCTCTAATAAAATATGACAGGAAATGATCTCATTTATGGCTAACAGTCATGGGAACTTAAAAAACCCTAAACAATTAAAATGTTACCACTGTACATCCTTTTTACCATAATATACTAAACATCGTCATTACACAACATATTCAGCATGCTCATCCTAATATTCTTCTATTAAACACTGCCAAATGCAGTGTACTGCTTCAACTATTTCATGAAATCCAGCCACATGGCTTTGATATCAATGGAAAATATGACTGTAGGCCTTCTGCGCTCTCCAGACCATCCTTGTCTCACTTCTCCTTCTAAAATATGCTTGTCAATGGTGAGCCGTTCTACTGGGTCC